TTTTTTTTTAACCTCTGGATACAAGTCCTTTATCAGATGTCTGATTTGAAAATATTTTTCTCTCAGTGTGTGACTTGACTTTTTACTTTCTTAATGGTGGCTTTTGAAGTGCAAAAGTTTTTAGTGTTGCTAAAGTCCAGTTTCCTGATATTTTCTTTTATTGCTTGTGCTTTTGGTGTTGTAAAGATATCTGTGCCTTACTCAAGGTTGTGAAGATTTACTCCTATGCTTTTTTCTAAGAGTTTTATAGTTTTAGCTTTTATATTTATTGATAAATAAGTAATAAGAAGCAGCTACTTTTTTATGAGAAAGTATAGGCTTGAGTAATATCCATATTGAAAAAGAAGAGTTTAGAGCTTTACCTCATACCAAAGTAAACTCAGTAGGATCATATTTGTTCGGTTTTCTTTTATGTGATAGCTTGTTCCTTTTTAAAGCATTATAAACCTCATATTTAGTATGCACAAAGACACAACTTAACATTTTGAAGTTTTAAAAGAAGTAATGTCATCTGAAGTGGATTTTGTGTGTGTGTGTGTGTGAGAAGTATTGGCCCTGAGCTGACATCTGTTCCAGTCTTCCTCTATTTTGTATGTGGGACGCTGCCACAGCATGGCTTGATGAGTGGTGTAGCTCTACACCTGAGATCCAAACCTGCGAACCCTGGGCTGCTGAAGTGGAGCACACCAAACTTAACCACTATGCCACTGAGCTGGCCCCCTGAAGTGGATTTTTCTTAAAATTATTGCTTTAGTAACTGTCTTTTTTTCCCATGTGTTTTGGAATTTTCATTTGCAAGATCATTTTGAGCCATTTCATTTGGTTTCATTTTTATTTCCCCAGACCCTGTCTAAGGATTCCATAGTTTTGTGGTTTACCTCTGTCTGATCCCTTGATGCTTCAGTCCAGAACCACGTCCTATAGTACCTTTTCACATGGGACTCCTTCCCATTTGTAATGTTGAGGATATGAGAAATACAGACATGGAACCCATGAGGGATTTGGCCCAATTCCTCTGGGCCCTGTCTTTGTTCTCTGCCTCCCTAGGCCTACAGCTTTATAAAAATACATAGCCCCAGGCAGTAAGCCTGGCCAAAGTTTCCTTCCTACAGGGGATCCTTTTGATTCACAGTTCTGTGGAAAGGAGCATCTGGCAGCCATTGCCAGCGTCTGAATTTTGAGCCCCAAAATGTTGAACTCTATTGAACTTGAGTTTCTTTGACTCTTTTTTCTGTTATTCTCAGTATTTTAGAGCACAGTGAGCATTTTGAAACATGAGTTCATTGCTTCATCTTGACTGGAATTTATAATGTTTTCTTTAATTACAAAAATAGTACAGACTTTTATTTTAACAATCCATTTAAGGGCAGATAGGAGTTCAGATAATCAGCTTTATCTGGCATATTTTATTTCTTGAAAGTAAAAAAAAAAATGGGATGTGAAACATGATAAAATATTAATGTTTGTTAACTTTTGATAAAAGATACACAGATGTTTGTGGTAACTTTGGTCTTTCTGCCTTTTTAAGATATAAAAATAATTTAATCAATCATACATTAATATATAAGTTCTGTTTCTTCTCTCTCAGTTCTTTCTCTCCACTCATTCCATGAATCTCACTGCTCAGAGGTAAACATTTTTAAGTTTATATATATCCTTCCACATTTTTTCAGAGTGTAGAAACATTTTCTGTACAGCTCTCCTTTGTTTCCTGGAGGATTATTATTTTGTTTTTTAAACTAAAATAGATTCATACTGTATATATTATTTTGAAGCTTGCATTTTGAAGCTTGCTTGTTCATGTAATGTTCTATGTCATAGACATCTACCCTTGTCATTACATATAGACCATTTATATAGTGGTGGGATAGTGGTCATTGGAGGCATGTACCATGATTTATTTATCTTTTCCTTTGTTTTTAGACATTTAGATTGTGTCCAGTTTTCCTCTATTTTAGATTGAACTGCACTGAGCATTTTATGTACACATCTTTGCATACTTATGCTAGTATTGCTCTGGGATAACATGGTAGAAATGGGCTCCTGAGATAGATAATTTCCTGTTTCCTTGTGGTTTATTCTCCATAACTTTGTGTAAGTGCCGATTGAAAAATCAGATATGGAGGGGCCGGCCCAGTGGCGTAGCAGTAAAGTTCACGTGCTCTGCTTTGGCAGCCTAGAGTTCACGGGTTCAGATCCCGGGTGTGGACTGATGCACCACTTGTC